TCCTACTTCCGTAGTGATAACTGCCTTGGAAACCCAAGGAGGGGTGGCTATGAGTCGGGGCCGACTCGACGGCAAATAACAACAACAACAACAATATATGGTATAAATAGACTATCAAGCATAACTCAAAATGCACAAACAGCAGAAGAGAGATGAATAGCACCTTCTGAAAATTAAATTTTTATGTGCTTCCAAAGACTTCTGCAAAAGAGTCAAAAGGGAACCTACAGACTGGGAAAAAATATTTGGCAATGACATATCTGATGAGGGACTTATCTCTAGAATTTATAGAAAATTCCAAGACCTCAACAACAAAAAGACAAATAATCCAATTAAAAATGGGCAGAAGACATGAATAGACACTTCACCAAAGAGGATATTCAGGCGGCCAACAAACATAGGAAGAAATGCTCACAATCATTAGCCATTAGAGAGACGCAAATGAAAACAACAATGAGCTGTTGCATTGTGGTAAATTTTAGTCAATGTCATGAGACAAAGTGTATGTGAGCTGCTGTATGGAAAGTGAATTTGCTGTGTAAACTTTTACCCAAATCAGAATTAAAAAAAAAAAAAATTAAAATGTGTATGGGTGGTGGGTATGGGTGGTGTATTTGGCTTCAGGTATATCTGGATACCAGGGACCTGTCTAGATCTAGGGCATCTAGCTTGGTTCTAAAGATCCTTGCCTGGATTCCTAGATCACGTCTAGACCTAGGGAGTCTTGTCTGGATTCAGGGGGCCTGTCTGGATTCAGGAGCCCTATCAACGCCAGGGGCCCTGATTTTCTTGCCAGGTCTCAGTCCTGTTCCTCTCTGTGGCTGGCTTCTTTCTTCCTTCAGACTGGCTCTCCTGTCATTGTCAGCAGCTCCAAGTCTGAAATTTCACACTCATTATCTAAAAGGAAGAAAGGCTCTCTCTCTGGGTATCAATGTATCAAATTTCATGGTTGTGCTGGGGTCATGAGCTTATCCCTGGACAGAAGAATGAAGGAATAAGATGAGCCTGACCTGGGTCCCCTGCCCATATCTGTGGCTAGCCAAGGGAAGGGCAGGCACAGTGATTAGAAAGTACATTCGCTCAAGAAAGACCTGCTAACTGACATTTCCATTCCAGGTCCCAAACCAGTTCTGGGTGAGTCCAACTCAGCACACTTTGTACAGACTTCTTTTCTATTGTAAATTATGGTTCTGGGGTATATAAGATGATAAATCTGAATTTTTTCATTTCTAATTTTAAGGTTGTATTGTTTTAAAACAAAAATCTTCACAACTGGACCAATAAGCAACATCATGATAAAAGACTGAAGTTGTCAAGAACTCCACTTTACCTGGATTCACAATCAATGCCTATGGAAAAGCAGTAAAGACATCAAATGATGTATTTGCAATTGGGCAAATCTCCTGCAAAACAAACGTATTACATAGATTATCTACTCATAGATTTCTATGTAATAGTCAAGGTTACACCATTTCAACTTTATGTAATGAGAGGAGAGAAACACACAATCAAGGAAGTCCTTATGCTATGGACTGAGTTTTGACAAGCAAGCATTCAGGGGCTTGTACTGGAAAGCAGACTTTGAGAAAGCAGTTATAAGGAAATAGGATCAACTATCACCCCTCTGCTGCGTGTACTTTGCATTCCCAGCCTCTGGTATCTTATCAGTTCTCAGAAATCCCTATACTTTGGGACTAATGAACTCAAACAAAGCTGGTGACCTAAACCAGTAGTTCTTAAACATTGGCTAAATGAGAATCACCTGTAGAACTTTTTAAACACATATTTCTTCCCCTACCCCCACCTGAAATTTCTGAATGAGTAGGTAACAAGTGGGACCTTAAGAATTTGCCTTTCTAACAAGGTTTCTGGCTATGTAGAAATTGTTGATTTAGGGACCAACCTTCGACAACCACTGACTAAATGAAAATATTGGACATACCAACAAAATACAGCAATAATTCGCATCTTGAAAAGCATTTTAAGGATATCTAAATTTCCTTCCTTTGCTCTAGGAGAATCCAATACAGTGGTATTTTTGTAAGAATAAATAGACTTTTATCTCAACAGAGAATCCAACACTGTTTCACCCAGTGATCCTCATTGCTATACAATGGAATATTTGAGCCTAGGAAGAAAGGATAAATAACAAAGTGAAAGAGGAAGAGCTGAGCAAGGTCAGGCAGGGACACCCCCAAACACCTCTGGACAGAGAGTCAGTCCAGACATCTTTCTGCCAAGTGGAGATGAGAATCTCTCTGCTTAGATACTTGCGAAATAACTTCTTAGAGATTTGAAACAGGAGAGATTAAGACACTAAAGGAGCAAGACTCTTTATATACGAGAAGAATTTAGTGAAAATCATTATATTCTTTGAATAAGGAGAGATCTGTTATTTGAAATGACATGAGGCATCTCTCCAATGAGGCAAAAGGAAAAAATAGCAGCCAAATGCCAAATTTTAGAGGCTTGCATAAAAAAAGAATCAGCTGGATTAGACTAAATTCAAAAGAGGGGAGGGAAATGGGCAAAGACCAAACCAAAACAAACTCACTGCCATCGAGTTGGATCCAACCCATAGGGACCCCTCCTTGGGTTTCTGAGGTAATATCACTACAGAAGTAGATTCCCAACCGTCCTTCCAAGGAGCGGCTGGTGGGTCTGAACCGCCAGCCTTCTGGTTAGCAGTCAAATGCCTTAGGCACTATGCTACAGTTGCTAAATGAATAGATTAAAAAAGAAAAAAGTTGCCAGTGAGTTCATTCTGATGTATGGTGAGCCCACGTGTATTAAAGTAGAACTGTGCTCCACAGAGTTTTCAATGACTGATTTTTCAGAAGTGGACTGCCAGGCCTTTCTTCTGAAGTGCCTCTGGGCAGATTCAAATCACCAACCCAGGGATTATTCATCAAATAGATGCTAAGTGCTGAAAAGACTCTCTCTTCAGTGCCAGGAGTGGGAAAGGTCACAGAAGAGCCTGATCTCTGCATCATAATGGAAACAGAGCAGAGTATACAAGATAACTACTGGCAATAAATCAACAATAACTCAAAATGTTATTAAATGGAGATAATCTCTACATAGTGGTGGACGGGAGCAAAAGCAAACAGTTTTTTTTTTTTCCCTAAAAGATAATTAACATATTTTCTTTAAAAGGAGAAATGTAAAAGTTGACCAGAAATAAACTATTTAAACAGAGAAATGAAGCGTAAAAAAGGAATTTTCTGTTCTGCTGAATTTGACTTGGCCACTGTGACAGTTAAGGTTGTCTGTCAGCTTGGCTGGGCTGTGGGTTTGAGTGGCTTGGCAGCTGGATGTAGTTATTCCCCATGATGAGACTGTAATCACATCCATGGTGAAATCTGCTGTGAGCAGCTAAGTAGTTGTCTATGGATTATGGCCTGCTTCCAGTATATAAGGAGAAGCTCTGAGAAAGGTCTTGAGCTTTTTGGCACATCTGGAGTCTGCATTTAGCTGAGTCTTCTTCTCAGTGGCCTGCTGTGTTGTCTACTGATCTTGGGATTGTGCCATTTTACCTGCCGACATTGGATTCATCAGCATCAATAGCCAGCAGCTGAATGAGTTAGAAGACACCTTTAGTTCCAGTGGGCCTGGAATACGCAGCAGAGCTGAAGCCCACTATGGAGGTGCTTTCGCCAAGTTCCTAAAGCCAGCACTCTGTCTAGCCTTTCAAACTGTAAGTAGAATAAATTCCTGTTTGTTAAAGCCATCCACTTGTGTTATGTCTGTTATAGCAGTGAGAACAAAGACAGCCACAAAGATCAAAAGTAATGAGTGGTATTATTTCTATACACATTTATAAGACAGTAAGTACCTCTTTACTTTTAATATTCACTGATACCTTATGCTCATACTCAAGTTCATAAATTAGGCAGAATTTCAAGAATCACCTAGTGTAACGAAGACACTCTGAATAATGAAAACCAGCTGCATTTATCATGCAGTATAAATACCACATGATATTTGATGGGGACTAATGCCTATTCATTAAGTTTTGTATCATTTAATATAAAATTAGCAAAATAAATGCACTTTAAATTCCATCACCAGAGTTATGTCTCCCTTCATTAACAGTAACAATAGAGATCTACAGCATGGCATTAAGCCCCTTAAGGCAACCAAACAGAACAGGCAGTTCAAATTTCAGGAGCTCAAACATGCAGGCAGCACATAATACCAGAAATAATTTCAAAGGATCTGTTAAATTTTGTATGCTGATAACATACACAGTCAAGACCACTGCCATTCATCTAAAATGTGTTTGTCCCACCAATGACAGTAGGAAGGTTGCAATTAAATTTTTACACATTGAACTGTGTCCCCAAAAAAATATTTGTTGCAAATCCTAACCCCCATATCTATGGATACAATTCCATTTGGGAATATGTTTTACTTTGTTATTTTAATAAGGCCTCTATCAGTGTAGGGCATGTTTTAAACCTACTCACTTTTTGTTAAAAATTTTTTATTTTGGAGTTCCGGCAAGATGGCAGACTAGGCAGAAGGATTGCACAGACCCTCTTCAACAAAGAAAAGGGAAACCAATTAACACAGACACAGAAGAAAATCTTGGACCCCTGAGCCTTGAAAGGAAGAATATAGAAGTGGACTAAACCCCAACTAGCAGAAGAATTTATGTGAAAATACCAAAAAAGGAGACATACGGAGCTGCGGTCTGGCAGCGATCCTGAGTGATCCTGATGGCACAGATAGCTTGGAGATTCCCGAGTGGTGGTAGGACCTAAGAATTAACCTAAAAATCACCCTGCTAGCCAGGGACTGCATAGAGGACTGCTCTGGTGGCTGGAGAATAAACAGAGAAGGTGAAGAGAAAGGTGGACTGAGCTGTGGACTTTTGCCAGTCCAGAGAGCACTGCCATTTTGAAGGTTTAAAAGTGGCTTGACTATTTTGGATATTGAAAGAGACAGGGCTCTCACAGATCCCTGGGGCTTAAGAACATGTTCTGCTTGCCAGCAACCCCAAGGACACTCTGGACCTGCAAGACTGAAAAGGTACCACATTCCTCTTTTTACTCTTATACCCCACACCTGCTTGGTGAATGGAGGTGTGGCCATCCCCCACTCCCAACTACCTTCTGGGCCCACAGGAACTCCATCACAGTCTGTGTGCTCATATGGAGCCTGGGTGCCCTGCCCTGTCCTCTACCCAATTTTTTTTCTCTTTTTTTATTTTTTTCTTTTTCGCTTTCTTTTTCCTGGTGATTAGTTTGTTTATATTTGTCTGTTTTAAAACAATTATTATTATTACTACTTTTGTCCTTACTACTATTATTCTTAATTTTCCCCTCCCAGGTCCTAGTTTTCAGTAAATTTTCTTTTCCCTGTTCCTGGCTGAATTTTTTTTTTTTAAGTGTTTTTGTTTTTTTATTCTTCCCCTTTTTTTCTTGTGGTTAACCCTGTTCCTTGTTATTCTTTTTGCATTTTTCCCTTTTTTTCCCCTTCATTATTCTCCTTTTCTACTTTGTTTCTCTTAGTGCCCTATCCCCAGTTATTGCAGGTTTTCTTGTTTTTCTTCCTCTTTTTCCCTTTTTTCTTTTTTTGGTTATTGTTCCTGTGTGATTATATGGTGTGGTTTTTGTCCATGTGCTTTTAATTTTTTGATGGTTATTCAATTGTAATATGGGTCTAACTGAGTGGGAGACAACAACAGTCCTCATAAAACACAATTACACCCACACCTCCTGCAACTTCACTTACTGAGCGAAAGCCACTACCTCCTCCTCCACCAACGGACCAATGATAAAAAACCACCAAGAAGAGCCTGAATAACCTTTGGATGCTCTTCACAAACAGTTAGCAGAGATCTAAATACAACAACACCACAATGCCTTGGAGACAACAGATCATCACAGTCCACACAAAGAAGCAGGATAAAGTGGTAGAAAAAAGGCAGCAGGATACAGACCCAGAACACATTCCTAAGGAAGAAGTAGCATTAGAACTCTCTGATAAGGCATTGTATTTAGGTACCTTCAAAGGACTGAGAGACAGACTAAAGAAAACACAGAAAAAACCCTAGAAGAATTTTGGAAGAAAATACAAGAACAAAATGACAAAATAAATGAACAATTAGAAATGATTCTAAATCTACAGACAGAAATCCAGAAGATGAATACTAAATTGTCAGAAATAGATAACACATTGGAAGAGCAAAGGAGTAGAATTGATGTGATGGAAGACAGAATTAATGAGATTGAAGACATCTTTGGAAAGGGATCAATCAGAAAAAAAAAATCAAAACAAAATGAAGGAAGTCTAAGGTTCATGTGGGATACCATCAAAAGGAATAAC